TCGAATATTTTTAATTTATGTAAAGCTATATGAATACGTTGAATAATTGGTTGTGGTTGTATAGGTAATTGACTAGCAATTATTAAGTTCTCATTTAATCTCTTTATTGTTTCATCAATTTGTGATTGCATTTGTTTTCTACGTAATTCAAGTGGATCTCTCATAATAGATGAACTTTCATTTGATATATCATTTAATGTATTAATTATTGTAGTTGAACGTCGATTTGGATCGAATAATGTAGCTAGTGGTCGAATTAAATTTGTAAGATTATATCTTATTAAAAGATTATTACTAAATTTTAGTTTTAATAAATATTCATCAAGTTTTATTTGTAAATCATCAAATACAGATTTTGTTTGTGTTACACCAATTTGTAATTGATTATTAACAATATTAATAACAGATAATGCTGAATGAAAAATATGTTCTAAATGATGAATTGTATGTGGTGTATTTTCATATAATTCATTAATATAATCATCTTTACCAAATATTGTATGTTGAACAAGTAATTTTAATAATTTTAATATTTTATTAACAAAATTAAATAAAATATGAAATTCAGGAATACTTTCAATAGCTGTTGAATTCATACCTTCTTTTAAATGTTGAATAATCATATGTACACAACCATATTTTTCTTTTAATTGTTCTAAATAACCTAATGATGTTAAACGACTACTTAGATTAGGTGGTTCAATTGATTGTATAGAATATAGTAATTCTTCTTGAAGTTTTTGTGCTACAGTTGATGAAAATTTTTCTTGATATGGCTTAATTAATGTCCACATTTGTTGAATTGATGTTATCCATAAATCATCAGAATTATTCGATAGATTAAATGAATCTACATCACTTCGAAATCGCTTTATATTTTGATAAATTAATACTGTTGGTGTTTTCCGTTCAATAACATTATGTTCAACAAAATATTTTAATTCACCAAAAATAATTTTAATTTGATCATAAATTTCATGAAGTCTTGTCGATGTTATATCGTCTCGTTGATATAAATGCATTAAACAAGCTAAACCAAATAATTCTTGTCCATTTTCTGTCATAGTTTTTTTTATATGTTCAAATTCTTTTTGTTTAATATGACATTGAATTCCATCGGGTAATGATTCATTTAATATAGTATGTAAATCACTAATATATATATCTTGTACACTCCATATAATAATTGATATTGAATTATTTTGTTTTATCATTGATAATAAACAAGATTCATATGGATTTTTATTTGGACAATAAATAATCAAATCATAAGGATTTAATGCATTTATATCAATATCATCATTAATTTGTTGCCAATTTGAAATAATAAAAAATCGATATCGTTGATCAAAATACGGAAGAAAATAATAACCAAAAAGAAAAAATGCTAAAGATGATTCAAGAATATCATCATGTTCAATTAATTCACCACCAAATGATGTAGCTAATACAGCACGAGTATCAAGTAGACCTTCATGATTAATTAATGTTGGATTTTTTCGAGCTTCACTTAGTAATCGTACAAGATGATTGAGCTGTTTAGCATCAGGCTGTTCGAGTTGTTCATGAACAAATTTATAGGCATCGGATTGAAATAAATTTCTCATTTCATCATAGAGTTTTTCACGTGCAGCTATTGCTTTATCTAATGCTGCAGTACGACTATGATCAGATCGATTATAATCATTGTTTAATGTATCCACTTCTGATTTTAATTTAATTTGTTCTTGTTTAAGTGCATTCAATCGATTACTAAGTGGATTTTCATCTGGATAAAAAACAGATATATCACGTGATAATCCCGGACGTAAATTTGGTGTTCCTCGATTAGTTACGTTTACTTCATTTTGCTTTGTTGATTCTGATTCAGCAATTTGACTTTCAAGTTCTTGAATATTTTCTTTACATCTATCTAATGCCGCTCGTTTTAATTCAAGCTCTTTTTTTAAACGAGAATAATTTGTATGAATTGAACTTGCTTCCGAAGGTAAATCACGTACAACAGCTCCAATTGTTGTTGTCATTTTATTACTTAATTCCAATGCAGAAAATTTTAATTCAGATTCAAGAATAAAATCTCGTGTAATACAAACATTTTTCTGTAGTGCATTTCGTACACTTATTGTAAGGTAATCATCAAATGTCCATTGTAAACTAATCCATTCGAGAAGTGTAGCAAAATATTGAATTGGTTTCATCATACTTGTATTTGTCTTTGTATTAACCATATGTTCAATAAGTTTACGTAAATCTTTTCGTGTTGATCGTATTGGAAATGATTGTGCACGTTCAAATGACCAAACAAGACCACTATCAAAATTTTCAAGTAAATGTTTACGAAATTGATATTTTGCATCAATAAATGCTGGATCATGAAAAAGTGCATATGCAGAACACTTATCCTTAAATGTAAGTAATAGTCGAAGATATTGTATAATCCTTGAACATAAACGTGTTAATTCAGTTGTTCGATCAAATAATGCAAAAATTGACGAACTAAAAAATTGATAAAATACATCAATAATTGATATTGCTCGTTGAAGAAATTCAAGACGTTCATATGTATCATTAAACGATGTACTACGTATAAATAATTCAAGTAATGTACTTATTTCTTCACATGTTGAACATAACCAAAGTGAACCATCAGATATAAGACTTTGCATTAATTTTCCTTTAATTGTCGTTTGTTTAAAATCAATACGAATCGAAATACTTTTCTGTTGCATTAAATCAGTTAATTCCTTGTCTAAATCTATTTGTAAACTATCATTATTTGTTAATGTTTGTTTTAATTGAATAAGTTTTGAATCGGACGGTGACATTAATAGTAGAATATTATCAATAAATAATGTAAATAGAGCACATGTTAACTTAGGTAATTTATTATTATATGCTAGTATTTTAAGCACGTTAAATATTAATTCAACTAGATAGCGTTCAAATGAAATAAATTTCGAACGAATACGTTGCGATTCTTGAATCCATAAAGCCTGTTTACGATCGAGTTCATCAGATGCTGTTGAATAAACTGTTGATGATGAACGTAAATTAAGTTTATCTATTGTTTGTTGTAATTTAGCGATAAATGATTTATATTGTTCATGATTTTGTAATGATGAACAATAACAACGTATTAATGACCAATAACATGCATCAACGGGTTTCACTTTACGACTAATAAGATAGAATATTGTATGAATACATTGTTCTAAAAGACGATATGTAACAGAAAAATCACTTGGATATGTTAAAACACTATATTTAACATCTTGTTTAACATTAAGATGTGTTAACATAATTAAATGAGCAAGTTGTTTTCCAGCTGGAATTGTTGTTAATTTTGTTGAAAGTAATTCATATAAATCACTTGTTGTTGGATCATTATTTGTTTTAATATCAAAATCATCAATTTGTGGTAAACAAATACGTATAACACGATTAAGAAAAGCTGATGAAAGTTTATTTGAATATATACGATTAAGATTAGCTGTTGTAAA